TCTCAAAGAGGACCAAATACCAGGATACCTGCTGTACAGTAAGCACTTAATATATGGAAGCATCAAAGAGACACAATGGATAGAGACTCTGGGAAATCTCATCTTACAGAGTTCAAATCTGGTCTCAGATACTTACTAGCTGGATGACCTTGGGCAAGTGACATTAATCTGTCTACCTCAGTTTCTTCAATTGTAAAATGATGATAATAATAACACCCACCTCTCAGGGTTGTTGTGAGGGTTAAATGAGCTAAGATTTATAAAGTGCTTAACACAGTGCCTGACACTTAATAAGATCTCGATAAATGCTTATTTCGTTCCTTCCTAATAATAAATGCTTCTTAAGTGACTTATCTCTGAAAGTAGTTTGACACAGTAATGATTTTATAATTCAGTATGGTTGTTTTTTATTAAAGCTAGATGGTAGATGAATACAGTACACAATGCATTTCATCACCCCAACATTCTGAACACTTAGCCTGTTTACGTTTACTGAGAGATATATTAAAAATACATAATGACAGATTTTTGCACCAAAATATTTTGGAATCAAGAGTTAATCTGATGGGGTTGGGATCTGGACCCCAGAAAGGAAAAATCCTGGACTTTCCCACATGGCCAAATCTCTGGCGTTCCCCTGAGGCTATGATCCCATCAACTGGCCTTTCTATGGCTACACCCAATCTCCCCTCCATTGTTTTACCTCCCTATGGCCCTTGGCCATTTCCCACCCTTAATCCTAGCTAGGCTCCATTGTCCAGGTCCCAGGAGTTCTGTTCACCCCAATTTACTGGCCACTCCTACCCAGATCTCCTTAGATCCCTCCTCCCATCACCCCAAACTACTTGGCCGCTCCTAGATCCCTCCCACAGTCTTTCTGTATATAAGGTCTATCTTGTCTCCATTAAGATGCTGAGATTCTTAAAATCTAGCCAAGGCTTAGATTCTTATAATCTAGCCATTACTTACCCATGTTCGGACTCCTTAAGAGTCTGCCCAATAGGATGGATGTTCTAACAAACCTTGTCTTTGACTGAAAGAAGGCTTGGGTCAAATTTTTTTGGGCAGGATCCGTGTGTTGTGATTTTTGGGGTCCCAGCACCCCTGAATCCCGAAACCGCATCAAATCCATTGTAATTATATATCTATCACGAATGATTTTCACAAATGAAAGAATAACATTTAATAAAAATTTCTTTAAAAAACAAGTCCAAGGGGCAGCTAGGTGGCGCAGTGGATAGAGCACTGGCCCTGAACTCAAGAGGACCTGAGTTCAAATCTGGACTCAGACCAAACACTTGACACTAGCTATGTGACCCTGGGCAAGTCACTTAACCCCAATTGCCACAAACAAACAAAAAACAAAACAAAAAAACATGTCCAGTAATTTTCATCATGGAACCAAATAGCAGTCATAACTTCATATGACAACTGTATACATTAGGTAAGAATTACATTGCAGATAGAGACATTTTTTTTTACAAAAAATATATCCATTTTCTGAGAAAAAAATGATTTCATCATAAAATACTAGCAGACAGCCTATTTGTCTAAATCTAAATCATCCTCTGCCCACATTTAAACCTATCCTCAGGTCCTTTCATATGACAAGTAGAGAATTGTTTCTATAACTTTCCATCAGGAATTGAGGCTAGAAGAGGTTTATCAGTCAGACCAATTATGAAAGCATGTGTGGCATACCAATCTTTGCTTCATTTCTAAATTCCAAATTCCATAATCTCACCTGAGATGTCAATTACTCAGAGTTTACCTGAATTTATGAATAATCCTTACTACTGTTGAGTTGGGATCTGGACCCCAGAAAGGAAAAACCCTGGACTTTCTCACCTGGCCAAATCAATGGATTTCACCTGAGGCTATAATCCCATCAACTAGCTTTTTGTTATTATCTATACCCAATCTCCCAATTCTGTTACGCTTAACCTAGCCTAGCCCTCCATTGTCTTACCTCCTTTTGGCACCCAGCCACTTCCCACCTTTAATCTCCATTTTCCCTTGGCCACTGCTTCCAGTCCCAGGCTTTCTATTCACCCCAGTTTACTGGCCACTCCCATCCAGATCTTCCTGAGACCCCTCCTCCAGTCACCCCAAACTACTTGGCCACTCCTAGATCCCTCCCATAGTCTTTCTGTATACAAGGTCCATCTTGTCTCAGTTAAAGTGCTCATGTTAGAAAAATCTGAAACAAAAATCTACTACAGTGAATGAGTGAAGGAGTCTTTATAAAGCTTCTTGTGAGAGAAGCAAGCACAATGCATTTTAGTAGCACGTGGGCACTGGTTCAGTGGTAGAATCAACTTTTAAACCATTAGTAAGATCCATACTCCACCCATCAGGGCTCCTATTGGTCTAGTTCATCTGAGTTACACCCTTCCTGGCAGCCCATTGGGCATGTTCTTCCATGTTCTGTCCACTCTGCCCCCTTCATGGGTCCCATGCTCAAAAATGGTGCCTATCTCTGCCCTTGGGGTGTGTCAGTTCATATTCAATACGCTTATTAAGCAAGTACAGTGGAGAAAAGCCTTTGCCCTGTGGAAGCCCTGTCCTTGAACCCAGCTGGATGCGGTTTAGCCTCTAGGGCACTTTCTTAAGAACTAGTTGTTTATAGTAAAGTTTGGAGTACTTTCTGATTGGTTGAGGGACTATCCATAAGATCTTGGAATTTCTTATCCTGCTGTGGAAGCCTAACCCCCTAAAATTTTGTTACACTGAGATTTTTACAATCTAGCCAATAGCTCACAGGTGCTCAGATTCCTTAAGAGTCTGGCTAATATGGCAGATCGTTAATAAACCTAGTCTCTGGCTGCAAGAGGGCTTGGGTCAAATTCATTCAGGCAGGACCCGAATGGGGTTCCAGAACCCTGAAAACTCCAGACCTCACCATTACTATATTCTGAGAATCACATTTCCAATAATCAGCTACTTCAGTGGGATACAAAGTCCAATTCTGAGCAAGAAACAGGAAAATTTAGGATGGGGACTCTTGGCAAGCTTATTATAGAAAACGTTTTTACATTACATATGTAAGAGTGGGCCTGAAATTTTCAGCTCTGAAATCTTTTGATGGAATCAGATAACAGAACTTGAATGTGAATAGCTCCCACACACTTTCTCGAATCAATTAAAGCCATCCTGTTGGAGACAGCATCATGGTCCAAAGCAGTTTGTTTAAATTGTAGGAACAGCTGAGTGGCCCAGAAGATAGAGTGCTGGGTCTGGAGTCAGGAAAACCTGACTTCAAATGTGACACTCACTAGCTGTGTTTGCCTCAGTTTCCTCATCTGCAAAATGGGGATAATAATACCTAACTCCCAGAGTTGTTGTGAGTATCAATTTAGATAGTAATTACAAATCACTTAGCACAGTGCCTGATACGTAGCAAGCACTATATAAATATTAGCTATTATTATTATTATAAAAGGAAGAAGCCATCTCAGAATGGAGAGAAAGAGTTTCTGAGAGCCTAGATTTGAGAGGTTGAAGAAAGCATGGCATTTCTGTACACCTTTGAGGAACAAAAGAAGGACTGAGCTGTGCCAGAGAAGGGAGATATTGAAGAGTCTTTGCTTTTTACCAGGCATCTCAGAGTGGAGCACCCAGGATGAAGGAAAACCCAAGAAAAAAATCACTTCTTTCCTCCAGCTTCCACTCCCAATGCCTGTCTATCCATAGACACTATAATACAATCTGATATTTTGTTACCAGATGTTTCTAGAAAACGAAAAATTCCCTGAGTCACAAAGAAGCCAGAGAAGAAATGAAAATAGATATTGATATGAGATTAGGCAGAGAGCCCAACCTCTATTTATGTGCTAGTCATCCAAGAAATGTCCAATCAATCAGTTTCAGTCATAGGTTTTAGGAGTGACCTTGCATAGGAATCCCATTCAGACAGGTTGAGCAAAGTTGGCCATGCCCCAGTGGCTCTCTGTAAATCATCATGCTAGCTGAGAACCAGAGGGATTGGAGAAATGGTAGCAAGCCTGGCATTGCAGTAAAGTCTCTGAGGACGAAGCGAGGTGGGGGGGGGGGAGGACACAAGAGGCTCAGGTTCAGCCTTGGCCTCTTTCTCCTCCACACCCCAATCCTTTGGCTGCAGGAAGGCCTCTGTGAACAACTAGAAGCACCAGGGGCATGTTGGCATCCACTGGGGCCCAGCCTAATCCCTGGTTCAGCTGAGAGCAGAGTCTGCGCTGGGAGCCAAGGACAGAAAGGATGGAGATTTGTGGCTCCACTAGGAACCCAACAAAGGAACTACACCGTGCCTAAGGGGAACTTCTGGACCCCCCCACAAATGTGGGGAAGGACTCCTAGCAGTCAGGAGCCTTGCCACCCCTTGGCCACATGTGCTTTCTAAGCTTGGGCCCACTTTCCCCTGCCCTCTAAATATACTGGGGCCACAGTGAGGCACAGACCTGGCCAACTCTTCCTATTGTTCCACCCCCCCCCCCAAAGCTGCTAGGGCTACTAGGTGGCGCCATGGTGCATAGCGCACCCCAAGCCTGGAGTCAGGAAGACTCATCTTCCTGAGTTCAAATGCAGCCTCAGACACCTCCTAGCTGTGTGACCCTGTTGGCCTCAGTTTCCTCATTTGTAAAATGAGCTGGAGAAGGAAATGGCAAGCCACTTCAGGATCTTTGCCAAGAAAAGCCCAAATGGGATCATGTACAGTTGGACACGACTGAAACAACTGAACAACAGTAACAAAAAGCTATTTAAAGCTGGCTGACTAAAAGGATTTTCATCTCATAATCTTGAGGCACAGTGGGTAGAAAAAACATACTACTGGGGCCTTAGGCTGAGAGCACTAGGGAATCACCCCAATTTTTCAGGAGGGCCCTCTAGAACCCTGAGCAGGGAATACACCCCTTTTTTTGTTTTCTTGGTGAGGCAATTGGGGTTAAGTGACTTGCCCAGGGTCACCCAGTGAGGACGTAGTAAGCGTCAAGTGTCTGAGGCTGGATTTGAACTCAGATTCTCCTGACTCCAAGGTGGAAACTCTATCCACTGTGCCACCTAGCTGCCCCTAGGGAATATACTATGGCTGTGGATCCTGAAACTCATCTGTGAGAATAGAAGTTGGGATAAAGATCATCAGAGCTCATATGAGCTATACACCCACATATACTATGTCTATATATATATATCTATGTATGTACCTGCAAAGTAGATACAAGGCACCCTTAGAGAGGAAGGAAGGCCCTCCTTCACAAAGGGATGCTTGACCTCTTTTTAGGACCCCCAGGGATGTTCAGAGGCCAATATAAAAAGGGAGGCATTCCATGCAAGGGGGACAGCCAATGCCAAGGCATAGAGTCAGGAAGCAGAGTGTCCTTTGGCCACACATGGTCACATACAACAGCATGTTCACATGCATACCCATAGAGAAACATAGTTAGACCCAAAAGCATTCAGCTGACCACAGCCATTGTACAAAACCAGACCCTCACTCAACTCATTGGTTGCCAAGCTTTAGGGGATCTCAGGAGTAGATAGAAGATTCACTGATGAATTTCTCTGGTCTTTCTCAGACAATACAGGAAGGTAGCCCATCAGGTTCATGGTATCTTTACAAACTTTCTGTAACTGGACTACCTGGTTATGTGGTAAGGACCAACGCCAGGCCTGGGAGACACTTTGAGCATTCCTGGAGTCTGTGTCAAAGGCACTCCTTCCCATGCCCTTCCCCTGTGTGATGTTATGCACCCAGATTTGGAGATGAGGCGGGAAAGGTAACCCTGCAAATTCATATAGTTTGGAAGTTTGGGTCAGTGGGTCCTGCACCAAGTCCTCATAGCGTATTAGCAGGTAGCGTTCTCGTTGGGAGTCTGGTAACAACTGTGCCGCCTTATAGATCTCCTGTTGGCTTTGGCAGATAGCTTGCATCAAGTGATAGGACTGGTCCTCCTTCTTTATTTTATTCCGTTGGTTCCCCATGACAATATGGCTGTCCTGCATCAGGTCCTGTTCTGTGTTTTGTCTAGAGCGGAACACAGCCCGGGGGTCTCGCACAAGGTGAATGATGTGCAGGTTGAGGGAGGGGTCAGTCAGCAGTGGCTGGAGGGTCAACAGGTTGAAGAAGCGTACCTCTTTGAGCACCACGTGACTGTAGGACTTACAGGCTTCTTCTACCATGGTGAAGGGCTGCTTGCCACATAGGATCCCACAGTCAGCCCGGGGGATGATGGCCTCCCTATGAAAGAGATGGCATGCGGGTGGGGAGCACAGAGCCCTACTACTATCCCACATGAAGAGGCTGGACTGTTTCCTTGGACCCTGGGCCATGTAAGCATCAAAAACAGTCATGTCACAGAGGAAGACTGAACGAATCAGGTCTCGCACGGCCATCTGCAACTGCCCAGCACTGCCAGAGGAGAGGGTCGCCCACACATGCTTGGCTGGCTCCATCAGGTAAAAGACATCTGGGTGCTGGCTGAAGAGCTGGCCCACAAAGGAGGAGCCAGAGCGCCACGAGGACAAGATCAACACATGTGTAGGGCTTGACTTCTCTGCTACACCAGGACACTGACTGGGGCTGTACAACTGCTGGAAAAAGAGGAAACCTAGAGATGGGAGCACCAGGAGGACTAATAGCCTTGTTTTGTTTACCCAAAACATTGTGCAGGAAGCAAGCAGGCAACCTGTTGGGACAAGAAAAATGGACTGTATGAGACTGCTGGGCATCCATGCGCTGGCACATCTCCCTTCCAGCCAACCAACCCTAACCTACCTGCTACCAACTCCTACTTTGCCATAGCTCCGCCCAACAATGCCTGAACACATTTCTCCCTCACCACCCTTCCCCCATCACCTCCTATCTCCTATGAGATGTGAAGAAGTCCTGGGGCTCAGTCCCTTTGATCTCATCACTTAAACTCATACAGAGAAGTGAATCCTAACCCCATTTTCCACTCAAATTCTTGATCACTGCTATAACCAAGCACTATGTGAAGTGCTAAAGATACAAAGAAAGGCAAAAATGAAAAAATCCCTGCTCTCGAGGAGCCCAGAGTCTCATGGGGAAGATAACATGCTAATCAATATGTACAAACAAGATAGTACAGGATCAACTGGGGATAGGGAGAGGATTCTGGGAAGATGGTGGAGTAGGTCAGAAAAGTTCCAGGCTCACCAAATTTCCTCCACAAACAAGGCACAGCATCACCTCAAAGTGAACATAGAGTGGCAAAAATAAGCAAAAGTCAAGAGAAGGAAGATGCCACCCTATGACAGCTTGAGGGGACCTCAGGAAAGACTGGACCTCCAAGGGTGGAGGTTTGGCCTGACTGAAGTGCAGACAACTCCACTGAAACTCAGCCTCAGGAAATTTCTCCTCACAGTGTGGAGGATGGACAGCTGAGTAGGGGAAGGATCCTCCACTGTCTCAGGATGCCAGGCATAGCTGTGCTGACCAGACACAGTCCCAGGATCGGCTGTGAGTAGAAGGAGCTAGCACACTCCCAATGAGTGCAGTGCTAGCAGGGTTAGAGGGGTGTCCAGCTGGCTGTGGGCCCTTCCAGGAAAGTGGAGTCCCTGGTTTCCATTCCAGGGTAGAGAGGGGAGCTGAGGTTTGCAGCTGTGGGAAGGGCCACAGGCAGTAAGAGTGTTTATGGGGCATCATGGCAGGGGCCCTGGCCATGGCTCAGAGGTGGAGAGAACTGCCTGAGGTGTGGGTAATGGTGCCCCAGGCTTCAGGTCCCTCTTACTG